CGCTGCCTGCGCGCGCGGGCCGAGGGGTTAATGTATCTCTATACGTCTTCAGGTATAATTTTGGATGTTATTTTAGCAGTTGTTTGTTAAAATCGTATTTAAAATTAAAATATTTAAATAGCATTTATTTTTTATTTTAAAATGTAAATATTTAAAATTTATTTTAAACAACCATTTCAATAGTTATTTAAAACATTTAAATATTTCAATTTGAAGTTCCGTCTGCATATTACTTTATATTTTAATTTGAATGTTTAAAAGCTATTTAAAATGTTCATTAAGATATTTAAATGTTAAACACTTATTTAAATTTGTTCATAACATGAAATATTTATTTTGTGCTTTTTAATATCTTAGTTACAATTTTTATTTTAAGTAATTATGTAAAACCTTACCTAGATAGTTATTTTAAATATTTAAATTTCTATTTTAAAAAATTTATTTAAAGTGGTATCATTTAAGATATTTATGTAGAAATTTTATTTTAAATTTTATTGTAAATATTTAGTTACTTTATACCTTTTAATTTAATTTTTTATATTTTAAAATGTTTGATTGTGGTGCAGAAATTAAACACTATTTTACAAAAAAGATTTCAGCCTTAAAAGGGAAGGAAATTCTGACCCATGCTACAACGTGGATGAACCTGGAGGACGTTATGTGAAATGAAATAAGCCAGTCACAAAAGGACATGTATTGTTTGATTCCACGTATATGAAATCCCCAGAGGAGTCAGATTCGTAGAGACAGAAAGTAGAATGGTGGTTGGCAGGGGCCAGGAGACGGCGAATGGGAGTTATTGCTTAATGGGGACAGAGTTTCTGTTTGGGATGATGAAAAAGTTCTGGAGATGGATGGTGGTAATGGTTGCACAACATTGTGAATGTGCTTAATGCCACTGAACAGCACACTTAAAAATGGTTAAAATGGTAAATTTTATGTAACATATGTTTTATCACACACACACACAAAGAGAATTGCAGCTTGCTCTGTGAGCCGGGAAGCCAGAACAAGAATGTTCCTATACGCAGCACCATATACATTATGTATATCAACCCCAAGCTGGCAGCAACCCACACCTCAGACCTTCCACAGTGGAATGGATACCTAAATTTTGATGTTTCAGCCAATAGCACACTGCACAGGAATGCAGGAGCAGAAATTACAGCTGCTCACAACACCGGGGATCACTCTTACGTCATATGCCACAGAGGAAGTGGGACCTGAGGGATTCCTTGTCATAAAGGAGTATTTTTCATTGTGTAAAGTTTACACAAATGGTCTTTTTTACATCAAGTTGAAAAATCCCGGTGTCATTATGGATGCACACCTTAAAGATTAACGAATGATTAAAAAAAACGAGGCAGTGATCATTCTGGAAGTCCAGATTGGAGGCCTCTGGTGGGGATGAGGGGACATCTGGGTGGTGGCCACATGGCGGGCAGGGGGTCCGCTTTGTAACAGGTTGCTGAGCTGGTCATTCACGTTCTGTCTCCTTTTTTCTGAGCAGACTGTGTTCGATGTTATTTCTTGATCTGGGCTACAGCAATGCCTGGGTTATAATTATTCTTTCAGCTGTATATAACTGTGTGTGTTGCACACTTTCCTCTAGATTTATGACATTTCACAATTTAAAAAATGAAAATACAATAAAAAGGATTGTAGTGAGCAGTCTTACTCCCACCTGTCTCCCATCCTCCTCTTCCCTGTCTGAGCGCCTCCCTCCCACTTGTGTTAGTTTCTTATATGTGCTAGAGAGTTGCTTTATACATTCTTAAAATTTTATTGAGGTCATATTGGCTTATAACACTGTGTAAATTTCAGGTGTACGTTATATTTCAGCTTCTGTGTAGACTGCATGGTGTTCACCAATAGTCTAGTTTTTATCCATCACCTAATGAATCACTTCATAAGGACAGAGCAGTACAGTCACTATGTCATCTCCCAGGTTTAACAAGTATTAACGCTTTGGCTCGATTGCTTCAGATCTTTTTTTTAAAATCCCTTTTATTTATTTATTTATTTATTTTTTGTGAGGAAGATCAGCCCTGAGCTAACATCTGTGCTAATCCTCCTCTATTTGCTGAGGAAGACCGGCTCTGAGCTAACATCTATTGCCAATCCTCCTCCTTCCCCCCCATCCCCAAAGCCTCAGCAGATAGTTGTATGTCATAGTCGCACATCCTTCTAGTTGCTGTATGTGGGATAAGGCCTCAGCATGGCGGGAGAAGTGGTGCATCGGTGCGCGCCCGGGATCCGAACCAGGGCCGCCAGCAGTGGAGCACGTGTGCTTAACCGCTAAGCCATGGGGCTGGCCCTAAATTCCTTTTATTTTTTTAAAATAAATTTTACTTTTTTTTTCTTTTTTTGTGAGGAAGATCAGCCCAGAGCTAACATCCGATGCCAATCCTCCTCTTTTTTGCTGAGGAAGATCGGCACTGGGCTAACATCCGTGCCCATCTTCCTCTACTTTATATGGTACGCTGCCACAGCATGGCTTGACAAGCGGTGTGTTGGTGCGTGCCCGGGATCCGAACCCGGGCCGCCAGCAGCGGAGGGTGCACACTTAACTGCTACACCTTGGGGCCAGCCCCTACATTTTTTTGTTGTTGGTTATTTTATTTGTGAGGAAGATCAGCCCTGAGCTAACATCCACGCTAATCCTCCTCTTTTTGCTGAGGAAGACCAGCTCTGAGCTAACATCTATTGCCAATCCTCCTCCTTTTTTTCCCCAAAGCCTCAGTAGATAGCTGTATGTCATAGTTGCACATCCTGCTAGTTGCTGTATGTGGGACGCGGCCTCAGCATGGCTTGACAAGCAGTGCATCGATGCACACCTGGGATCCGAACCCGGGCCGCCAGCAGAGGAGTATGTGCACTTAACCACTACCATGGGGCCAGCCCCCCCCTACATTTTTTTTTAAAGGAAGTTTTTTAATTTTTTTGTGAAGAAGATCAGCCCTGAGCTAACAACCAATGCCAATCCTACTCTTCTTTTTTTTTTTGCTGAGGAAGACTGGCCCTGGGCTAACATCCGTGCCCATCCTCCTCTACTTTATATGGGACGCCGCCACAGCATGGCCTGACAAGTGGTGCATCAGTGCGTGCCCAGGATCCAAACCTGTGAACCCTGGGCCGCCAAAGGGGAGTGAGTGCACTTAACTGCTGCGTCACTGGGCCAGCCCTGTCCTTCCTTTTCAAGGCTGAATCATATTCCATCACATGTATTTGCCACATTTTGCTTATCTGTTCATCCATCAATGGACACTTGAGCTGCTTCCATCTTTTGGCTGTTGTGAATAATGCTCCTATGAACAAGGGTGGACAGAGGTTATTTTTAATGAAAAAATAGAATAAAAATATCAGACTCGCTCACATGTAGTCAGGGTAAGTAGTGTTTGGTAAAACTTTTATTTGCCTCATATGCATGCATGTATGTACCAGTGTTCCCATTGCAATTGATGCTGGTGAACCTGCCCCAAACAGCCCGTCTTGTTATGCTCCTGGATTGCATAGAGCAGGAATTTGGGCTGGGCACAGCGGCGATGGCTTGTCTCTGCTCCATGCTGCCTGCAGCCCCAGCTGGGAAGAATTTAAAGTTGAGTGACTTGAGCCTGGCCGCCAGAATCATCAGAAGGCATCTTTGCTCATTCATGTCTTGTGATTGATGCTGGCTGGAGCCTCAGCTGGGCTCTCCGCTGGCATATTTACACAGTGGTCTCTCTGTATGGGGCGGTCGGAGCTTCCTCACAGCATGGCGGCTGGATCCCAAGTGAAGAAGTCTGAAGCGCATGGCGTTTCTATGACTGAGTATCGGCAGTCACATGACACCATTTCTGCTGTATTCTGTTGGCTGAGCCAGTCACAAAGGTTGTTCAAGGGGAGGGGTCAGAGACTTTGTCACTCCATCAAAAGATTGTCAAGGTCACATTGTCAAAGTCACATACAAAGGATTGTATGTAGAGCATGTAGGAGGGGACATATCGTTGAGGCCTCTTTGGAAAGTACAATCTCCCACCTCTGGTTCACAGTGTAAAATGTATTTCTTACTGCGCAGAGTGGTAAAAAAAGTTTGAAAACAAAATCTCTGGGGGCCGGCCCCATGGCAGAGTGGTTAAGTTCGGTGTGCTCCACTTGGGTGGCCTGGGCTCGTGGGTTCGGATCCTGGGCACGAACCTACACCACTCGTCAGCCATGCTGTGGTCACGACCCACGTACAAAATAGAGGAGGATTGGCACAGCTGTTAGGTCAGGGCAAATCTTCCTCAGCAAAAAAAAAGAAAGAAAGAAAGAAAGAAAAAATCTCTGCTCGATATTGTGCATGGTGTGAATAAACTAATTATTCCGTCAGGCGGTTTTGATGGACATTCATTTCCAGTTTTTCTTGATTGCAGAAGTGGTGCTGCAATGGGCCTCCCTGTCGGGGTCCCCTTGTGTGGTTGAGGTCCACTGAGTGAAGAGCGTGAGGCAGGGGCCGGCCACGCAGGCCTTCCAGGCCATGGTGAGCGATTCTGGGTTTCTTCCGAGGGCAGTGGGGAGCCATGGGAGGTCTTTGAGCAGAGGAGTGATGGATATGGCTTATGGTTCTCCTCTGGCTGCTGAACAGAAAGG